ATGCAAAATATATATAGATATATATATATATGTATTATATTATATATATTTGTATATTATATATATTTGTTGAATGAAATTATAAAATTGATTATGTTACTATTGATGTTTACTAAATTTTTCTAATGTATTTTTGATGGCAAATTACGTTTTTGTTTGTCAAACGTTTGACAAACGTTTTATTACTGGATTATGAAAATTTGTCCTAAAAAAATAAACTCTTGATCTAAAAATTGCAAAGAATCTTTTTGTTTTACAACTGACATCGTTCTGCATATTAATTTTTCATATTGAATAATTAATTTTGTGTTTAATTTACACTAATGGCGAATTCGATTGGAAGAATTAATGCGCACTAGTGCATATTAAAGCCGCATTTATTTAATATGAATATAAATGCAAATATTTCGAATGATAAAATACATATTTTACCTAATAGTACAATAAAATGTATTGAATATTTCAGGATTTAATCGATTTCTATTTACGTATAAACATATCTTTAAGTTATTGTGTACGACGGTTTTAATATGCACTAGTGTGCATTAATTCTTCCAAGCGAATTCGCCATTAGTGTAAATTAAACACGAAATTAATTATTCAATATGAAAAATTAATATGCAGAACGATGTCAGTTGTAAAAACAAAAAGATTCTTTGCAATTTTTAATGTGCATCAATGCGCACTGAGTGCGTCCAATCGAATTCGCTATAAGTTTTAAAAGTTTACTTATTATTTAAGTTTATTTATTAAAAGTTTCTTTATTATTTATTATTTAAAAGTTTCAGAGTGCCGATTGTATAGCAATAGTTCTAGATTTAATAACGTAATTAAAAATCTCAAGAATAATTTGATATTTAATAATATAATTAAAAGTGTTTTTAAAACTTGCAGCAATAAAGGAGCGTAAATAATCGAGTTGTTCTACTTATGTGACATCAAGTAGTTACAGGCAATTTAAAATCAGCCGTAGTTCGCAGTGTCGCGCACAGATGACTCTCGCAGTGACTTTGTCACGAGTGTTTCGGGATAATTCGGATCGAGTTCCCGCGCATTCTCGATTCCCGCGTTTCTGTGATTGTTGCCGATGTTGCCATTTCTATTCAAGTGGCTCTAGTTTTATACTGATCTTGCTCGATTAATCAAGATGAATATTCAATCATAAGAACTCGACAATGAGGTAAACATTACTTTTTCGCCACAAAATCGCTTCGTTTTATCAAACTTTCTATTTCGAAGTGTCGAAAACTTCTCAAGCAAAATGCAAATTATGACATTAAAAGGGTTCCAAAATGAGTTAATTTTCGATTATCAGTTATAATTCATTTTGGGTATGATCAACGCAACGTTACAAATGTTTTAAAGCGTTTTTTGATTACGGTTAATTTATTATAAAATTCTTTCGTCCATCAAATGCTTTAAAGCATTTGTAGTGAAACTTTAATGTCATTGTGATTCGTTTTGCTTAGATCTTTAAATTTTGAAGAATTGACGATAGCTTGTTCTAATGAACAGCATTTCGTAATCTTATAGATTATAGAAATTTTAAGATTATTACCCAGTCAGAAATGATAATGAAATCGACATCGAATCGATGTCGATTTGATGTTGATTCCTCATCATATCATTTTTCTGATTGGATAAAAAATCATTTAAAATGACATTTTAATAACATTTATTTAATTTTGATTCGCGCAAATACAAATGTTTAGAAAACAGTTATATAATATAAGACGCGATCATACCATGATTTCAGAATTTTTCTATCTATATATATTTATTGTAAAATTAATAAAAATCTATAATATTGATCATATTTAGAAAGCTACTTATAATTGTTTAGAATTATATATCCAACCTCA